AATTTAACGTAGCATCTGAATATGTAATGATATACAGGGCGTTCTATTTTAAAAAATGGAATTTTGGTCTGTAGCACCTACACCAAACACCCTGTATTTTTAAAAATTATATCAAAATATAGCTCTCATGAACTCCTAAAACTTTTGTATGAAACATTTTTGTGTATCTCCTTCAACAAACCAGATATTGCCTGTCACATAAAATGTGGGACACCCGGTATATCAAGCTGAAGTCTATTTTTTTAGCAGCGGAGTTATTAATCCGCTTACTTGAAAATGATTTATTAATCATTTTCAAATGACTGTTCCATAGCCTTCCATAACTGACTGTTAATAAGTGAAAAATGTAGTCATTTCAAAAGTTCATTGTTATTGTTATTGATCAAGCTGAGGCAAAGTTGCGTGTTTACCTGACTAACAATATGCCGTTGAGAAAGTTCTGAAATTCCGAGTATATCTAGAGATATCCGAAAAAAACAGAAATTTCGGAAAATGGTTTTCATTTTTTTCTGGCTTCATTTTTCGAAAAATTCAAAAATAAATTGCACTTCCACATTGACACTTTCCTTGCTACATAATGGTGTTTTCAGATTTGATATCCGACGCTTCGTCTTCCGGCCATCATCATCAAGTTTATTTTTTCTTATGGGTGCTATATTGGATTCTTTTTTTTTGAATAGAACCATCGGATATGTATTTAAGCTTGTATCCCGAAAGATGACAACCACGTCGAACTATGGTCAAGTTATTGGATCAAAATCTCTCCGAGTTTTGTTCGTTTGATAAGCTAATGAAAAAATACGGAGAGAAAATCAATAATCGAAATTTGATAAATGAGGTGTGTATGAGGTAAATTAGACATTGTGTACTTTTCAATGAAAATATAACTTTGAACAAATAACAATAATTTACTGAAATGTAAAGACAAAAGTAAATCACAGCAAATGCTCAAAATGCTGGCCTTGTTCATGATACACAACTGTGCCCTTCTTCGAATAGTATCCATTGCACGAATAATTTCCCTCCTCCTCAATCTTCCGAACTCTCCAACAATACTGTGTTGAAGGTCCTCAATATTTTGATATTCCCTCTGACAATAAACTCTATATTTCAGTGTACCCCATAAGAATGTATCTATAACACTTAAGTCTGGAGACCTTGCTGCCCACCTCACCGGCCCATTCTCTATCCATTTATCACCAAACCATCATGTTGTTGAAACCAGATCTTGTTATACTCAGCCAAAGATAGATCATCCAAATAGTCTTCGAAAATCGACATTGAAAACTGGTTTCTCCATTCAGAATTCCGTCAAATAAATGAGGACCCAAAATTCTATCTTTGTAAATTCCTGCCCACACATATGGTTAGTCAACCCATAATCTTCGTATCTCTCATAGTTTACGATATCCCAAAGGTGAGGATTGAATTTGAAACACCCTGTGGAACAAATATTAAAAGAGTTTTTATAGTTGTATGTAAATGGTGAGTAACGAAAATATGAAGCACTCGCATTGATTTGGATATTATTTTTGATTAAACACCTAAAATTGTTTTTACTTTTGAATTTCGACATGAATTTTCGATGCTTTCTATAAAGAGCTGTTTTTGATGTATTACATACCTACACAGCTCACCTGATTGAATCAGGAATACCTGAGATATTTACAATTTTTGCTGGAAAAGAGGTTGACGTTATGGTTCAATACCATCTAATAGTGTTGTAATTATATACTTTATTATCTGAAGTTTTCAGTTTTCTCTCCAGTAAAAACGACTGAGTAAATCAACTTTTTTGTTAAAAAAAGATTGTTATTCTTAAGGTATATGACACTTCCATACACCAAAATCTTTCATATACTGTTGATTCTCTGGGGGAAATGTGTTCGCAAATGAGGAAGTTTCACAATCATCCACATACAAATTCAAGAATGGGAGAAAAAATGAAGCTGTGAAATTACTAAAACCATCTTCGGAGAGAGAAATTGTGCCAGTTGATGAAAATTACAAACTTGCGAATTGATTTTAAGAGAAAAATATCGACCCTCGACGAAATAATGGGAGCCTTGAAGCAGAAAGGAATTCAATTCCAATTAGGAATTGCTAATGCAGGTAAAAGTGTGATAAATGTGAGCATAGAAAGATCTGGGCGGAATTTGGACTCAACGAATGATATACCTGTGAAAAGATGTGGCAAAACACGTCAAGCATTTTAAGAAGAATGAAAGTTGTCTTGATGGTTTTGTTGAGGGTCGTTTAGTGATATTTGTGTTGAAGCATTTCCATGAAGATATGAACAGCGATGTGTTTGAAGAACACCTAACTCGGTGATTGTGGAAGTTGAAAGAACTTGTGCAAGGAAAAAAGTGGATAGCATTGAGTGTCTTCGACAAAAATCATACCACAGTATGTTTAAATGAAGCTCGTTTCACGTATCATGTAGTCGACAAGATGGCACAGAATCCAAATATTTTCATTCTGCGTTGGCTCCGTTAACATTGCGAACTAAATCCAATTGAACTCGTTTGGGCTCAAGTGAAGCGTTGTAAAAAAAACATGAAGTATTTTTCAAGGAGCCCCTAAAAATTGGTCGATCCAAAAAAATAGCGGAATTGTATTGAACGTGTTATATACAAAAGAAGAGGATGGCATGTGGAAATTAGACCATTGATTTGGGAGAATTTTAGAACCTTCAATTATGACATTCGACGAAGATTCATCGGATTAATCTGATAAAACATCTTCATTTTCTCTTATACTAATATATCATTATGTGAATATTTCAAATCCAAACAATATAACAATATAAATCATGAACCAATAAATACACAATACAGTTATCAGTTTGAAATTTAAATGTTGTTGAATTTAAAATAATTTTTGAGTGAACTCAATAGTTTATTGATTCAAATATGGAACATAAAATTTTTGTAAGAAAGCCTATTCCATTAAAGCTCCTGAGCCAGGAAAAATTGTATCTCCCTTTGAATTTCAAACATTAGGCAATGGGAATGTTGTCTATGACATCACTAATAAACACGCCAATATCAATAATTTTCTTCAAAAGCAATGTCTACCGAACGGGAAGTATGAAATAAAACGAGATACTTTGAA